AATGTTTAATTTTACATCTATTTGAAGTGTGACCTTGTTTCATACAATAAAAACATGCTTTAGATGTAACATTTGAAAATGATGCATTTCTAATTATAGATGCTCTAGTTCCTTTTTCTACCCATACTCTTTTCTTTTTAATTTTACTCTTTTTCAAAGGAACTCTTTGATTTACATTATTTTGAGCAATTCCCATTTCATGCTTCTTAAGATCATCAATTTCTTTTTCGGCTTTGTCAAGCAAATGGTTAAGAATATCTATGTCATATTCATGCTCTTTACAATTTGCACATGCTAAGTCCTTATCTTCATCTAAGCATACAATTTTCGTATTGGCTACCTCCTTTTCTTCTAAACATGCAATTTTCATTTTTAAGGACTCATTTTCCTTTTCGGATCTTCTTAGGTTCTTCTTTACAACTATATATTCGTTTTTCAAATTCTTAAAAGCAGTAAATAACTCATTATAAGCATTTTGCAATTCATCATGGTCATTTTCATCACTAGAGGATGAATCGGAATCACTAACCTCAAAATCAGATGATATGTTGTCATTTGCCATCAAGCAAATGTTTGCTTCTATCTCCGAGTCGCTTGATCCTGAATTTGAATCACTGTCATCCCAAGCAATATAGGTTTTCTTCTTGAATTGCTTTTTGCCCTTATGTTCATCATTTTTCTTGTTTGGGCATTCGGTCTTCATATGCCCTGCTTCACCACAACCATAGCATTTTATATTAACGGAAGAATTTTCTTTTACCTTTCCCTTACCTTTGAAAGGATGTCTTCCTTTTGCTTTCATGAACTTGGTGAATTTTCTTATGAAAAGACTCATCTCTTCTTCATCATTTTCGGAGTCTTCTTCTTCTTCTTTCTTATTTTTGCCTTTTGAAATCTCGGTCTTGAAAGCAAGGTTCTTCTTTTGATATTGACTCTCTTCCTCATTTAGCCTTCCAAGGTCAAGCTCATGCTCCCTTAGCTTTCCAAATAACGCCGCCATAGACATAGTGGTAAGATTTTGTGACTCCGAGATGGCCGTCACCTTAGGTTGCCATTTCCTATCCAGAGATTTCAAAATTTTAACATTTAATTCATCAACGTCAAATACTTTACCTAATCCGGTGAGATGATTCACAATATGAGTGAAACGCTTTTGAACGTCGAAAATCGTTTCTCCTTGTTGCATCCGGAACATCTCGTATTCTTGGATTAGGGAGTTTTTACGCGCTCTTTTGACGTCGTCAGTTCCTTCGTGGGTCACCCTAAGCATTTCCCACATTTCCTGTGCACTTTTACAAACTGAAATTCTATAAAACTCATCAAGGGTTAGAGCAGATGAAATAATGTTTCTAGCCCTAACATCAAATTGTGCTTTTCGACTTTCGTCTGCAGTCCATCTAGAAAAAGGTTTAAGAACGTCAACACCGTTCTCAGTAATTTTAGGAACAAATGGACCGTTTAAAATTGCGTCCCAAACGCCTCTATCAACAGACTCTAAAAATATTTGCATACGTACCTTCCAGAAAGGATAATTTTTACCCGCAAAAAGTGGGGGTCTGTTGATAGACGCACCTTCGGCAAAAGTTTGATTTTGTCCGGCCATTTTCGAAAATTTGAATGACTATCAAAGCAAGCTCTGATACCACTTGTTAGAATCGCGCAGCGGAATGATCGCGTGGTCGGACAAAAACCAAGAGGGGGGGTGAATTGGTTTCTTAATGAAAATTAGGTTTTCAAAATTTTCCCCAAATTTTACCGATTAAAAAACTGTGTAAATGTAAATAGAGAAAGGGATAGAGTCTTACACAGGAAATTTATACTGGTTCGGATCAAAAGACCCTACGTCCAGTTGCTAATCACTCAACAGAGGATTAACGCTGTCACTATAAACAAATTGTTACAATACAAATTACAATGGAAGAGATAAAGTAAAAGATAACACCTCTCTTGAAATCCACAAGAGATGATGAACAGCTTTCCCTGGAGACGGCACAGCACACAATCCACTAAGAACTCCACTTAGTGATTCTTATCGCTTCTAGCCCACACCAGGTTCAGAAAGCCCCAAGAGATGAAGAACAGTTTTCCCCAGAGACGGCACAACACACAATCCACTAAGAACTCCACTTAGTGATTCTTATCGCTTCTAGCCCACACCAGGTTCAGAAAGCCCCCTTTCCTTGCAACAAACAGTTCTCTGGCACTCACAGCACTTAACTTTTGTATGGAAAGAGTTGTTCATGTTTTCTGAGTGCCAAAGGAGAGTTTAAGTAGGGAAATTAGGGTTTAGGAATTGGGGATTTCGAAACTAGGGTTCTTGGTAATTGGGTTTTCGAAAATAGGGTTTGTTTGAAGTTTAAAATCAGAAACAGACTGGAATAATCGATTATTTGGAGTAATAATCGATTAAAACAGAGCCAAATACGACAGAACCCAAAACCTCTCTGTTTTAATCGATTATTTGAAGTTTTAATCGATTATTTGACCTAATAATTGATTATTTGATGTTTTAATCGATTAAAACAGTGAGTATATACTTGAAAATGGTTTTCTCATCTGTTTTAATCGATTATTTCCCTATATAATCGATTAAAGCCGAGCCTGGATGATATATTTAGGCTTTTTGAAGCTTCTAAGTTACGAGACTATGTACCGGCTATCTTAAATTCTATAATTACAGACTCAATCAAACTAAAACAGAGTTATTACAATACGTAAATCATCAATCTTCAATCTTCAATACTCTAAGTCTTTAAGCTCTTGGATCATCATCAAAATCAACATTCTTCATGATCATTATTTGCAACATCAAGTCCTTGAATGTTCAACAATAATGCTAGCATATACATAAATATCATTCTTATATAACATATTATGCTTTCAAAGCATGTTAATAAAATCATATTCTACCCATAAAATTATTTAGAATTTATAACTTTCATAAGATATTATCATTTGAGTGAACTATCTTCACTTTAGTGAGATTTCCTCTAAAATATATTTTTTCTCTTTAGAGTAATTTTGCTAAAATGATATTACTATTATTTGAGTTATTTGAACGAAATCACAATGTAGTCTAACCTCATTTTACTGTAAATTTCTCGATTGAGTAAAAATGAGATCAAGTCAATTATCTTTATTTTAGAATCTTATCACTCAAACAACCAAATATTTGTTTGAGCGGAACCAAAGTGAAATCTTTAAATATATTTATTTAAGTAATAATGTACACTTAGCAAATTATGCAAATATCAAAGTGTCTATAGAAGATTCAAACCAGAGTTAAAGACACACAAAACAATCCTAAAATGTTTTTATTACAAATTTTACCACAATTTATTATAATTTGGTTCAACATAAGTATTTTCTGAAAGCAATGAGGGGGAGATTAATGGAAATGTCCCTACATTCCCAAGAGATGATTTTGATGATGAGTCAAGTCAACTACATTCAAGTCAATATCATTCAAGATGGATTAAGGACAAACTGAATTTATGACGTTGGTGAAAATGTGAAATATTTCCTTACATGCCCAAGATATGTTTTTGATAAAGATGATGATTCAAGCAAGCTCAAGATGATTCTTGAAGACTAGATAGAGTCTTAGAATGCTGGATATGGAGGTACAAGTTGATGAAGTAATATTATGCATAAGCCTCCAAAGCACAAGTGTGATAAAATTCATAACATGATATTTTTCTCTGTCATAATGCATCAGAAATGGAAAAATGATTTTCTCTGTCATAATTGATTATACTGGTAATATAATCAATTATGGCAATTCAAATTTGAAAAATATATCTGTTTTAAAGAATAAATGTTTTTTAATACATCCTGATTTCCTCTATGATATTATTAATGTCCAATGACCATTTTCTAATGTTATTTTTCTATTTAATTAAGTTTTGATGAAAAATAAAAAACATACAATTACAGAATTTGAAAATACAATTTACATTCAATTAGTTTTGAGAAAAGAATTATGAGTAAGACAACAGAGATATTTTACACCTTTTGATTGTTAATCACACTTGTTCTTGGAGATTGACATTCCTCTATAGGCTTCTATAATTTGTTGTATCCATTACCCAGGTGTGTCTGTTCTTATTTTTATTACCTTCATCTTTTTTGTATTGGTGAAAAGGATGTGTTTCTCATCCCTAGTGTGATTCTAGGGAGGTGTTCATCCTTAGTGAGATTCTAAGGAGATGTTTTCATCCTTTGATTTGTTCAGAGGAGGTGTTCATCCCTAGTGGGATTATAGGGAGGTGTTCATCCTTAGTGAGTTTCTAAGGAGGTAATTGTCTTATTAATTAGTTTACTTTTTACTGGTTCTTCTGCTGAGTTGATTGTAATTTGTAAAGTGAATTTGAAGTATACTGAATGGGGAGTTACTATTGTGTTAAGAGTTGACTGAAAAATAGATTAAAGGTTATCTGGTCAAATAACTGCGAAATTTTTGTAATAATGAGATAACTCATGTAAACAATTTTTGTAAACAATTATAAGTAATGAAACATATAATTATTTATAGGTTACTATGATGAGATAACTCAGCCGCCTGGTCGTTTTAGTTTTATGAAAATTTTAGTCTAAATTATATATATATATATATATATATATATATATATATATATATATAACTGAATTAAATATTAAGAAGAAACAAAAAACTTTATTGTTCGTAATTATGACAGATATAATTGACGGCTTGACCAAGATTGAAGATATACTCGATAAAGAAAATGTCAAATTATTGATTGAGTTGGACATTAAATGATGGCGCAGCCAGCTATGGTGAGAATATATACATTTGTTTATTTGGTGAGCTCATCTTGGACATGAATGAAGGCAAGTTTCGCATGTGCAACAAAATTGGTTGCCCTATAAATACCAACCAAAGCATTGCTATTCATCACTAAGCCATTACGAGTTTCTTTTCCTGTCAATCTAAGAAAAACGCATACCGCTAACAACTTCTTTTCACAATTACTCTTTTCATGGCTGGGAAAGATAGAATCCTTGTTTTGGGACCCACAGGAGCCATTGGAAGACACATTGTATGGGCCAGTGTGAAAGCAGGCAATCCCACCTATGTGTTGGTCAGGGACACTCCTCCCTCTGTCGACAAGCCCAGGCTGGTCACCGCTGCCAATCCTGAAACCAGGGAGGAGCTTCTTCAGAACTTCCAAAATAGTGGAGTCATTCTCATCCAGGTTCCTTCCTGTCTTCATTTCATTATTTGAACTGATTTCAAACTAATGATTCTGCTTACTAATTGATCTGTTAAATGGAATCTGCAGGGAGATATGAATGATCATCAAAGTCTGGTAAACGCAATCAAACAAGTTGATGTTGTAATATGCTCATTTGGCAGACTACTAATTGAAGACCAGGTGAAGATCATTGCAGCAATAAAAGAAGCTGGAAACGTCAAGGTGTGACAATTACTTTAGCCTATAATTCCTTCTATGATTACATATTGAGTTCTGATTGTTAATTTCATTCGTGAACAGAGATTCTTCCCGTCTGAATTTGGGTTGGATGTGGATCGTCAGGATGCAGTGGAACCAGTGAGAGAAGTTTTCGAGGAAAAAGCAAAAATCCGGAGAGTGATTGAAGCTGAGGGAGTCCCTTACACTTACCTATGTTGCCATGCTTTTACTGGTTACTTCTTACGCAACCTGGCACAGATTGAGACCACTGTTCCTCCCCGCGACAAGATATACATTCAAGGAGATGGAAATGTCAAAGGTTGTAATGCGTAGTTCAATTAGTTACAAACACAAACTATATGAATTGTTTGAATGTGTAGATATATAAACAAATGCTGTTAACATGTTTCAGGAGCGTATGTGACTGAAGCTGATGTGGGGACTTACACCATCGAAGCAGTGAATGACCCAAACACCTTGAACAAGGCCGTGCACATAAGACTCCCTGCCAACTATTTGTCTTTAAATGAGATTGTGTCTTTGTGGGAGAATAAAATCGGAAAGACTCTCGAGAAGATTTATGTTCCTGAGGAAATTGTTCTAAAGCAGATTCAGGGTCAGTGATAATAACTAACCACACTCTCTTTACTCATACACTCGGCCATCAATTAAATGGATTTGTTTTTGGTTTGCTGCAGAGTTTTCATTCCCAAATAATTACCTGCTGGCATTATATCACTCACAGCAGATAAGGGGAGATGCAGTGTATGTGATTGATCCTGCCAGAGACGTTGAGGCTTCCGAGGCTTATCCTCACGTTCAATACACCACCGTGGATCAATATTTGAACCAGTTTGTGTGACTTCTCAGATATCAGGAACTAATGCACTCTTATCGTGCTCTGCAAAATGCTCAATAAAAGCCGATATTGCTTTCGTTTGTGTAATCCTTCGGAAACCATTCATATTAATGTATCTTCTTTTAACCCAAAAGAATAATAATACTGTAATCTGCTGTCAAAAGTACTGTTTCCAAGCTTTTACATCATTCTTCAATATGACCCTTGGGCGTTCCCTCGTCTCCGTCGTGCCCATGCTTATCACACAGGACACGCTTCTATAAAATTCAAATGGAGATACAAAATTCACACATATAGGATTCATTACCCAGTATACGTTCTACTGTTCTCAGTAGGGTTCTAAAAACAGATGGTCAGATCTCGGCATATTTTTAAATAAAAATTAGAAATAAAAAAATATATTTATAAAATTTAAATTATATTAATAAAATTAATTAATTTCACATCGTAATAAAAATTTATTTTTTATTATCATTAGTAATTAAATAATTTATTAGTAATTATTAAATTTTAAAATAAGTGAATATTACAAACCTATTTTTTATATTTATTTTTATAATAAATTGTTTTTTTATTAAATTTGTATATATATATATATATATATATATATATTTAATAAAATAATATTTTTTAATTTTAAATAATTATTATTTTATAAATTTTATCTTGTTCAATCGCTTATATTATTATCTAAACGGATAAATTAAATTTTAGATTATAATATTTTTTTAAATTGACTTATTTCTCAAGTTTTTTTATTGATTCTTTCAACTAAGTTTATTTTTGGTAGTCTTATGTTTGAGTCAATGAGAAAAATTATTACTTTTTTCTATATAATACGTTCTTAATAAAAGAAAATATTTATTAATTATGAGCATTTTGATGGGTGATCTCTCTTATATAATTGTTTACCATATTCATATATATTTATTGAATTTAAAAATCACGTATATATATATATATATATATATATATATATATATGATTATGTGCTCATGATTTTTAAATTGAATAAGGGTAAATAAATATGATATATAATTAATAAGAAAATTTTAGAATGTTGTTATGTATTAACTTCCAATTACAAAATTAAACTTTATCATTGGGATTAATATACAACTATGTGTAGTTATTATTATTTTTTTATATCCCTCGTGTTAGAAGTTCAAAGATGTGTATAAACTTCCATTTAAATGGATTGACTTTAAATAATGATGGAGATAAGACTTTTATGAAGATGTCAACCAATTAACTATGAAAATATATGAAAAAGATGTAGATAGATAATCAATATCAAAATAATTATTTTGTTCTTAAAATTCTGGATTAGCAATTATACGCAACATACTTTAAGTATCATAAAATAATATTGATAATCACTCATAAGTAAAGATTGAACCAAAAATTTAATTTGATCCAAGTCAATATATATATTTTTTGAAAAGGACCATAATATATTATTTTTAATAAAATTTAATAAATTATTTTTTGAGGGAGAGATCTTGATTCTTGTCAGTCCCCTGAGTTCAACCAACTTGAAAGTCTTGCAGTAAATTAAGTGGTCTATTGCAACTTACAAGAAACACACAAGTTAAGGGATTATGTCAACTTTATACTTGGAGTGTACTCATTTTTGCTGTCACGTTTAGTAAACCCCAAACTGTGAGCTTACACCCAAGTAAAAGGTTCTACTTCCATTTGGTAGTCAACTTGATTATTTCGCGTACGTGGATTTGTTTGATTATCGTTTTCACAAATTGGATATTGTTATCTTCAAGGAGATTATAATCTTGATAGAACATGTAATTGTCTCTGCGATTCTTCATTGTGTCATTTGAAGGCTTTTCTATCCTCTTGATGCTTTATTTTTATTCTCTCTAGTTCTTCTAGATTTTTGTTTTTTAATTATGTAATATTTGTATGAATGTTTGCTTCATTCCTTTGTTGGATTTCTTCCATATAAAATTCCATACTTTTGATTATTTTGTTTGCATTCATTTTAATATTTGAAGAACTAGTTTGGTTCCTTGTATGAACCATTAACAATGTGGTATGGGATAAGTTTCATCATAACCCTACAGTGGTTATCAAACATTCTTACTAAAAAATAGAATTAAGATAACATGATATTAAAAGTAATATATGAAAAATGAATAAATTTGGTTAGGTATGATAAAAAATTGAAGAAATTCGATTAAGGAACCATGCAAGACCATGAAAGATTTTGAGCTATATCCACGCACTTAATGAGAAGCCTTTTTTTTTTCTCTCAGAAACCCTAGTTTGAGCCACTATGCATGAACCCTTTCTAATGTTTTGGAGAATTCTTTTTGTATTAAATGATTTAAATCACATCAAACAAACTCTCTACGTTCAATCCTACCTATTTCATGTTGAGCTTCAAAAGTTGAGAATTTAGGTTGTATTTTTGAGTTCTTATACTCAACCTCCTGCTACTTACATGATGTATTTAGGTTGAGCCATAAAATATTGACACTCAAATATAAAAACTCAAAAATTACTTCTATAATTAAATTGACTTTATCTTAAAAAAAAAACATAAATCTATAATAATATATCCACGAAGAGAAATATTAAACCTATTCCTGTTCCATTGTTAAATTAGCATAATATTTGAGGCAAACCAAGTTTTAAGTAAAAAAAAAATATAAAAAAATCCTATAATATACAGTAAACAAATAATTTATCAGTTGCATATTCCATCTTCTGATTTTATATTCACTTCAGAAAATCATACAATTAATCGAATTTGCAATTATAATACAATAAAAAATTAATCAATTTTAGACTAAATATTCTGACTTCCAATTAAATTAAATATTTTAAAATTAAAAGTAAAATAATATTTTTTATAAAGAAAAACTCAATTCTCAATAGAAAAAATAAAGATATAAATATGTTTTTAGATGTTTGTTAAGCATGATGTAAAAACCAAATAAATCTAGCTCACGTGTAATTTATTAAAAAAAAAATACTTATAAGATTTGAAGATAAAAAAGAACAACTATAATTAAAATTTGATCCGGTAGAATTTTTTTATTCTCTACCATTTTTTTACTCGTTTTTAATGATAAGAGAAAAAACAAGAGATTTTTAAAATTATATATATATATATATATATATATATATATATATATTGATTTTATAAAAATGTTAGAGAATTTAAAATTTCAAATAAATAATATTTTTTAATAAATAATACATTTTTCTAATTGATAATAATACTTGAACAACTTGAATTACAACTAAAATAAAAAATTATCTTTCAAAAACAGGAGTACAATTAAAAATTATAATTAGTAAATTAACGTGAATTATATAATTCAAATAATACACGGAAACACGTAAATATTAATGAAGACTTATTAACATCAATTAAAATGAAATTTTAAATATATTATTATGAACATATTTACCAAATTAAATCAATTTCCTATTGAAATTATATATAAGTGTAAATGTTTATAAAGATAATATTTTTATAAAAATATGTATATAAATTTAAACAATACACGCACAAAATATATATATATATATATATATATATATATATATATATATATATTTATATTATAACATTTCAATTAATATTATCTTATGCTAAAAACATTATATTATCTCTTTAAGAGATAATGATTAAAGTAATAAATAAAAAGTATTAATAAAATTTTATCCTATCTCTTGCATTAAATGCAAGTAAAAAAAATCATAATAATAAATATTTATTTATGATTATAAATAAGGGTTATGGGAGGGAGAAAGGAAGAATAAAAAAAAACTTAGAGAAGAAGAGAGGGAGAGGAAGGAGAGAGGGGAAGAGAAAGAAAAAGAGAAAAAAAGAGAGAAAAAGGAAGAGAGAAGAGAGGAAGAAAAGGAGAAAGATAATTCATCTCTCCAAAATTTTGTTACATCATCTTCAATTTGTAAGATAGGGAAATTTTGTTACATCATCTTCAATTTGTAAGATAGGGAAGAAGAATATTATCATTAAATCTATTTTATTTTGTTTATATTTGTGGAGTGAGATATCTCTAACCTCATTTATTTATTTAATTATTTGTTTATTTATCTCTACTAACGTAATGATCTTATTTTAGTTATCTTTAGTTATGTATTGGTGCTCTTTATTTATTTATTTTATCTCCAGTCTTGTACTGGTCCTATTTTAATTATCTGCCGTTATGTACCGATCATGTTTGTTTACTTTATTTTATCTCTAGTAATGCATCGATTATATTTATTAATTTATAGTTATATTATTCAATTATAATAATATTTATTTGTGAATATTCGATGATATTGTAGATGAATGTTCGACCTTGAGGATTTAAATGAGTAAATATCACTGTGAGAGTGATTAAAATTGAGTTCATTTATCCCGACTAGTCACTACAAATTTAATTTAAATATTCATAAAATAGAATGTGTTGAGGAAGTTGAAACATATATATCTATATATTATAAAATTGTCACTAGTGCAGAATAGGGCTTCTACGTCACCCAATTGTCGTCGCATGCATGTATATTCGACGTAAATAAAACGCGGTGGCAATTTTGTAAATATGGGACAAAAATTTTACGTCGCGCATCCCGGTATGCGACGTAAAAAGCCTCTTTACGTCGCACCTGGGAGGCGCGACGTAAAGATGGACTTTACGTCGCGCCCTCCAGGTGCGACGTAAAAGATGGCTTTTTACGTCGCGTGCTGGGATGCGCGACGTAAAAAGTCTATTTTATTTCCCTCCAGACCCACTTCCTCGTCTCGCGCAACCATGGTTTTTGAGAACGACGACAACAGCTACCTCTGCACACCATTTTCGAGCAGTTTTACAGTGAAAAGCATCTACATTATCGTGTCATTTGACGAACTTGATCTTTCTCCCCGATTGGAATCGAGTTTGAAATCAGTTTTCGTCTACACTCGAGGTTAGTGTTCTATGTCATTGCTATATATTTACATTGAATCCGTGATTGTTTTTGGG